TCTATCTATCTATCTATCTATCTATCTATCTATCTATCTATCTATCTCGTTTCCCATACAGTATGGTTGGATCAGAACCCAATGGTCTCCAGTTAATGTTACTGTGTGATGCAATGAGGAGTGAAGAAATTTTTAAGACGAATGCTGACTAATAGGTGGTATATGCCAAGTACAAACAGTTACTTTTGAAAGAAGTAAAACTAGAGAAGGACATGAAAATGCTTCATCAAATGGACATCAGCTTTGGGAAATTCAGGGGAAATGTAAGTTGAATAGAGTGGGAATGGGGGGCTTAAGCATATTGGTGAAACAAAAGAAATTAGATCAAGAAAGTATGGAAACTGAACAAATGAAAATACAATAGTGAATGTTCAATATGAAAAATGTATGTTGAGGTGGTTTGGATATACAGAAAGAATGAACTGAGGTGATAGGAGAAAATTGAGAAAGTCATTTTTGGTGAGAACTTGAAAAAGAGGAAGGTGAGAAGTTTGGAGAACAAAGATAAATATATGAAACAGTAATATAGATATTGTGGAAGCAAGAAAAAGATAGAAAGATTCCAAAAGGCATAATGCATGGCATTGGCATTAACAGAGTTTTAACTATTTTTTGACTTCTTTCTCCTCACCTCAAATAACATAGTTTACCCAGAAAGAAAAGTTATATAAACAAAACCAGTGTTTTGTTTTAACAGTCAAAAATTCCTTTGACAATATTGATTTACTTACCTATATCTATTCTTTACATTTACATAACCCCTTCAGATGAGATTATTTCTCAAGAACTGGACCCTATGTTGTATACCCTACGATGCCACACACTCCTCTGGTATCTATTAAGTAAAATAAAAACCTAAAACCCTATGAAAGGAATTCATAAAATTATCCCAACACAGATTTTTTTAAAGTATGTATAATCCTAATCATGAATTTCTGAAAGAAGGCCACCTTATTTGCAATTATGTAGCCAAAAGGCTCCCAAAGAACTTTAAAAAAAAAATCAAAAGTGAACCACAGTGCTCAACTTGGTTTAGAAAAGCCATAGAGCAGTGTTTCTCAGCCTTGGCAACTTTAAAACGTATGGATTTCAATTCCCAGAATTCCCCAGCCAGCATTCCCAAGGAATTCTGAGATTTGAAGTCCGTCCACACGTCTTAAAAGTTGTCACGGCGGAGAAAGGCCCCACTCCACCAGATCTCGACAAAACAGAAGCGTCCTCCAGTGAACCAAAAGGCGTGAACCTTCAAGGGGACGACAGATACGGTAATATGGGAAGAAGGCCTATGTAACTCGGCAGAGTAAACAGAACGCAAGCCCACATCCATCCAAACCACGGAACAGTGTCCTCTGGCAAACTCAGGGCCGGCCCGTCCAAGCCGAGACTTAATCCCTCTCCTCCTCCCGTTTCCAGCAACGGCAGCGCTTCCCTCTTCGGCATCCCCAGGTTTACAACAGCATCTCCGTATATAAAAGCACCTCCGCAACGCTCATCTTCTTCCCGGAAGTCTCGCCTCGAACTGGGGGTGGAGAGAAAAATCAATGCGTCTCCACCTCCCAGCCATTTCTCCGGGGACTCGTTCACTGCTCCATTTGTTTTCAAGTGGGGCGGACCCAGCTCTTACCTCCCTTCCTCTTGTCAGCTCCCCCCGCCCCTCCCCGCCTCGCTTGGTTGCTGCAAACAAACGCGCACGCCCTGCGCACCTCTCGAGCTTCACGCCCTTTCAAACACCGGCAGGAAAAGCCGAAAGGCGCGTGACTGAGACCGCACATTGGGGGTGGGGGGGAGCAGCAGCCAATCCCCAAACAAAGTTCCGCCAGGTAACGCGCGATTGGCCATCGGGGCAGCAGAGGGCGGTCTCCGCCTATATAAGCCCGGTGAAAGACAGTGACGAGGGAAAATAATTGCGTTCTGCTTAGGTGGGCTGTATGTAGAGGTTCGCTTCAGCGCCGTACCGGGTTCTCATTTGATCGTCCGTCTGGGTGGGGTGGGGGGTGGAGGGATGTTCTCTGAACTGCAATGCGAAAAGTTCCGAAAGTGTACTTTGAAACTGGGTTTTGAAAACAAAATACAAAAGGTTCCAATGTAAAGGGGATGCGCATCGAACTCTGGCCTGGCTGTGGCTCATTGGTGTAAATATTTTGCGGCTTTATTTGACAGTTGTGTAACACTGTCCACCGTCCAATGTGATGGTCAGGGGTAATTTATGGAAAATAAATCCTAGGAATTAGCCGAAAAAGGATTGGCAATAAGGTGACCTGTCTTATGATGCCTTTACATAACAGTGACTCAATCTCATATGAGCATTGCCTTCAGTTCTAGCCAATTTTTAGAGCAAGTATCCAGAACTGGAGAAAAATGTAGAGAACTCGTGAGAGTCAAAATATCTCCTCCAGAAAGAAGGAATATTATTTGTGCCCCAAAAATATAGTCCTAAGCCTGGAGGCAGTTTTTGTTAAATGAGAGGAAACTGATACTTTAAGGAATCGCTTGTATGAATCAACCCCATTTTATCTAGTCAGATTCTCAATGGAGAACTATGGTAAAGTCAGCTTATTCATAGGTAAAGTTCTGATGGTCAGGTTGAGGATTATATACACTGTTCAAAAAAATAAAGGGAACACTTAAACAACACAATGTAACGCCAAGCCAATCACACTTCTGTGAAATCAAACTGTCCACTTAGGTGGCAACACTGATTGACAATCAATTTCGCATGCTGTTGTGCAAATGGAATAGACAACAGGTGGAAAGCAGAGGCAGTTAGCAAGACATCCCCAATAAAGGAGTGGTTCTGCAGGTGGTGACCACAGACCACTTCTCAGTTCCTATGCTTTCTGGCTGATGGTTTGGTCACTTTTGAATGCTGGCAGTGCTTTCGCTCTAGTGGTAGCATGAGACGGAGTCTACAACCCACACAAGTAGCTCAGGTAGTGCAGCTCATCCAGGATGGCACATCAATGCGAGCTGTGGCAAGGAGGTTTGCTGTGTCTGTCAGTGTAGTGTCCAAAGCATGGAGGCGCTACCAGGAGACAGGCCAGTACATCAGGAGACGTGGAAGAGGCCGTAGAGAGCAACAACCCAGCATCAGGACCGTTACCTCCGCCTTTGTGCAAGGAGAGACTGGAGGAGCACTGCCAGAGCCCTGCAAAATGACCTCCAGAGGGCCACAAATGTGCATGTGGCTGCTCAAACAGTCAGAAACAGACTCCATGAGGGTGGTATGAGGACCCGACATCCACAGGTGGGGGTTGTGCTTACAGCCCAACACCGTGCAGGATGTTTGACATTACATCAAAGTTGGATCAGCCTGTAGTGTTTTTTTCCACTTTAATTTTAAGCATAACTCCAAATCCAGACCTCCATGGGTTGCTAAATTTGATTTCCAATAATAATTTTTGTGTTATTTTGTTGTCAGCACATTCAACTATGTAATGAACAAAGTATTTAATGAGAATATTTCATTCATTCAGATCTAGGATGTCTTATTTTTGTGTTCCCTTTAGCTTTTTGAGCAGTGTATTTAACTCCAACACTCCTAGTTTATGTACTCACATACTTAATGAAATGGTGAAGGATTGAAAAATCTACCTAATATCTTTAACTTGGTTCTAATAACTACACAATATGAAACAGTTACTTTCAGAGAGTTCTGGAGAAGGCAATATATTTTTTACATTTTTTTTATTTATGAATTATCATCAACCCAAATCAATCCACTACAGGATGAAGATCTCTTCTTCAACACCACACTAGTCCAATGTGGGTTGACAGGTAGACATGTTTTGACCTTCTGGTCCAGGGTGCAAAAGAAGGTCCCAAGTCACACAGCTGGTCCTGTACCTTGTGGCTTCCATATCATAGGGTAATAGTGTAATAGGCACTTGTCACCAATAAACCTGGTATAGCTCAGCCCTGTGTGGGGAACAAAGCCATATTGCATATGAACCATGCTAGGTATAAAGGAACAGCAAGAGCCAATTCAACTGGAACAAAAGGATGCTGAATAAGCATGCAGAGAATGTCCCAGTGAGGACAACACAGCCATTTGTTATAGACTGGAAGCAAAGAAAGAAGCAGCATCACAGCATCTGCATGAGGATAGGAAGTGTATGGTATGAATTGTATTCTCAAGAGCAATGATTTATATTTTCCTATAAAAGCTAAGGATAAAAGCTGGATAGTTAAAAATACTGTAAACAATAAGATTTCATGAAGGGAAAGCATGCTAAAACTGATCTGAGTTCTACCACTTGGGAGATGGAGAATTTGAACATAAAATCATTTTAGCCTATTTCATGTCTTAGTTTAACTTAAATGGAGCATCCTTTTGGATTTGCTAATTGCTTTTGAGACTTAATCTTCTACACTCTTTATTGTTTCCTCTTTGAAGTAGGAGATTAAATCGGTGAGGAAAAATGAATCTCTGTGGTAATGTACTGCATGTGTTCCAAGCTATTCAAATCTAAGATCCTGAACCAATAGTCATAAGAGAGATGAAAGAACTGCTTTTCTGACCACACTTACAAATAAATGGCTGTTTTCATAAAACATGCCAACTATGACTAACTGAAAAATCCAAAACAGGATATGACACAATAGCCTTCTGTGGCTGTTCCCCTACAATTAGTATTTAGAGCTAATTGCCTTCAGTTCCGAGTGATATACAAATGTCCAGACTAGTACCCACCAAAACCAGCTTGTTCCTTATTTGGTGTAGCCCTCTTATAAAACCTTATAAATTGTTATCTGCAGACAATCAAGATCCATAGTTTTATGTACACATTATATAAAGAAGTATTTCTTTTTAATTCTTTTATTCACAAACCATCAAACTAATCAAAATTAGTACAGATCTTTATAAGATCTAATCTTATCATTCAACCTCTTCAACCTATCATTCTCCAATATTAAATTAATAATATTAGATCGAATAAGTTTTTCTCCGTACTTTCATTCACAAACCTGTGTCTAGATGTGCTGAATATTGAAAATCAAGAGCTATGCAATTAAACTTTGCACCTCTCAGGAAGAGTGTCAAGCCCACTAAGCATCAGTAGGATGGGGGCAATATTATGATGTATAAGAATTTCTTAAAAGGCAAACATTCCTTTCCTGCTTGAACTAGTACAATTTTTATTGTTATATTTTAGTTAAGACTCATATTTATAACAAAGCAGCCGCTGTTAGTTTCCCAGAATTGAGAACCTTGCATTCCTTGTGGGAAGAGTAGGCCTTCTGAATTTTTGAAGGCTGTCATTCTCTTCCTAGAGAATGTTATTATAACTCCAACGATGTGAATGGAATATATTAGAAATGATAAAAGGCAAATATTAAAAATTCATTTAAATCATCACTCGATGTTTGAGACATTTTTGAACAAAATTCAAAAGAACACTTATGACCCCTTCTACTCACTATTCATTCCTTGCTGTCTTTCTTGCCTAGCTGTAGATCTATCTTGTCAGCATTGTCTCTTGAGAGAGCTCCGTGTCATTCTTCAGTTCAACAGTTCATGACAAATATAAAGGGAAAAATTAAATGAAGAGGGAGAAAAACAATGGTAAATACTAACATCCAGTAATGCTATCAGTTATAGTCTTTCATACCCAAGCAGCCTTGCAGGGAAATAGGAAGTATAACTACCATTATAATCTTCTTAGTGATCTGTACCTTTGGAGAAAGGAGCTAACAATTGTTTCCAAGCGCATGAACCTCTAGAGTGAAAATATGGTATTTTGGCAATGTCCCTTTCTTAAAATTACATTTCTAGTTCTAAGTTCTCACTGTTTTAGTTTAACTTACAAATATTAAAGGAGATACAAAACTGATCACATGCTGAGATAATCTCTCTAGAGGATCAGACATTGCAAACGTGCCTATAGTATTTTCTAAAGTAATGTCTGAATTATTTTTAAGGAACTCACATTAATTTTTCACTCCCAGCAGTACTAATATTGTCCATTTCTGCATAATAACATAGTCACTGCTTTTTTATATATCCAGCTCTGTAATTGCCATAACCTACCAGCATTATTTTAACTGTATTTTCCTTAAAATGAGTATTTAAAATCAAATTAATAAGCTTTCATTATTAATTGTAATTAAATTGTTACCATTTTCTTAGGACAAAAAAAGATGGGCAATTTTAATAGTAACATTTGACTAAATCTAAGCATGCTGTTCCTGAAGATATTAATTTCAATTCTGTACAACAGATATTATCTCCTTTTATGATGGTCTAGGGCTAGGCTAGTGGTCCAGTCATAGCTGCTCTCTGAAAAAAACCAACAGCTGGATGAATATGCAAAGGCTACTACCTTCTTTGCCATTCCTCTTCCCTCTCCCAAAGCAACAATAGCCTGCATTATAAAATGTGCTTCACCTAAATAGCAACTATTTTGTAAAAAGGAAAACTACATTGTGATAACTGGTGTTTACTTTTTAATAACTGATAGTTTTGTGTAATATTAGAGATAACTTTCTTCTACTATATTTTAATGTTTTGCTCCCAGTCTGTGAATATAGACATTTTAAAATTTGCATTAAAATACGAACTCATAGTGATTGAAACAAATTTGGTTACCAAATCTCATGCTGCTGACAAGACAGGACAATTGTTTTCCAATCAGCTGCTAAAATATTTTCACTATGATCATAGCCATACTAGGACATTTCTTTGTACATATTTGAATTTTTTAAATAAAAATCACTGTAGTTCAAAATGTTTTCAACACCGATGCTACTTACTACTATTCTATAATAAATATATTTAGGAATTGGAAGATTACACTAGGCCTAAAATGTTATGCACTTACCTGAGAATAAATTTAATCCAGTTCAATAGGGCCTATTTCTGAAATGCATCAAATTGTACTATAAAGTGTTAAAGAATAATATATATATTTTTCTTGTATTCAACTAGGGAATCAATAGTGAGATTTGAATAGTCTCCAGTTTCTTTCCAAGCACAGTTTGTGCATTAGGGAGTTGATGCCAAACAAGATGTGTAGATTTTGTCTTTCAGTTCTCTGCATGAAGAACGAATTTGAAATACATTGGAAAGGATGTCAGAAATTATTTTGTCATCATGATAGAAAACTGCACAAAATACAAGCCCTTAGAAAATCTCTCTGCATACAAATCATAATAAATCATTTTTATTTATTTATTAAATTTTAACTGTCTAACTCACCTAGGTAACTCTGGGTGATTTACACTGCTACCTGACACTTCTATTAAAAAACAATCATCTGAAGCAGACATATTCCCCAGTAAAGGTGTATTTCCAACACTGAGATGATATATTAATTTTTACATGCAAAATTATAGCTTTTGCCCGTCAGAGATCACAAAAACGTAATTATCTATATTTAGTCTCACACTATTAGAATGAATTGTAGAATAATATTCCTATTCTATAAGTAAATAAACAACCCCTATGCCCCAATAGCAGTGACTTCTTCACACCTCTGTGTTCCATTTATTTAAAGATGGGGATTGCACTGTTTGAAAAGCTGCTTGAAAAGTGTGTTTTAAAAGTTGCAGTACTTTGTCATATATATATAGTCATCAGAGCAATATGGGCAGATTCTATTATTTGCACTAACAATGCAGATGCATAGAATTCAAAATCAAGTGTTATGGTGTGCGTGTGCAATACCTAATCTTAAAGGAAATCTGTTTGGAAATTATTATTTCATCAAGCATGTACAAAATTAGCAGCTTTTGTTACTTGTAAGACGTCTTTATGATAGTTCAAATTGAAGTACAGTCAACTAGAAAGCAAGAGCTCAGGTGTTTTATCAGTATATTTTTCCAAAAAGTAAAAAAATTAGGCAATGTAATTTACTTATAGTTCTAAATAATGTATCAGTAGCCTTATTCCTTTAGCACAGTAATCGGAGTGCTGGACTATGGTTGGCAAGATAAGTCAGCATGGTTTAATTTAGCTAAAGTTAAATTTGAAAGAACTGAATGGAGAACAATTTATGCAGAAATAAATTTTTAAAAACCATTGCTCACGGTAACACAGACAATTGCGAGCTACAGATTATGGACGTACCAGATAGGAGAAAGGTGTTAGGTAAAGCACATCCTACAGAAGGAAACTGGAACAAGCACACCATTCTGGTGTGAAAAACCAGAATGATTCTGGGAGATGATGCCAGAAATTTCTAGTGTTCTATTCTATGAGTTCACCTGTTTGCTATACTCAATTTTGAATATTTTTTCAACAAAGTACTGATAGTAGTAATAAAATCCATGGTCCATAATTTAGAAATTTTGAGAAATACATCCAAATAATTCTATTCTTTGCAGAAGTGTAATTTTTGGACATTCAATTTAGTACTGCACTCAGGTCTAAGAATAACCAATCGAATGTGCCAAGCTTCTAGGATAAAATGTTCCAAGATCAGTTTAGTTTCCATTATAAATCCTGCTTTATCTGAAATAATTTCAATTGTATGTATTTATAAAGATGCCTCCATTCATATTTCCTTTTCATTAAATTGAGGAAAGAGAGAAGAAATACATAGATGTATTTAGGATGTAACAATAGGATGTTTTTTTTGACATTTTCAGCACGAGCAGACATCAGCGACATGTTGATAACAGTAACTATATTATTTACATTTTTATGTAAATGTGTATGATACTGCATTATTGAAACAAAATGTTAAAAAATTATCTTTATGTAATTACTTATCAAACACATCTAAATTATATTAAAGTAACCAAAATATCTTCAAGATCCCCAAGGCATGTTAAAACTTTTGAGCTTCCCTAATGTTTGGAAATTTAAAGTTGAAAAATTTGACACGCCCTATAAAAACTGAGCCATACCATTGGAATATGTAATCCAGTATTTTTAAGTAAGTTTAAGTAATTGTCTTTCAAACATCTCCTCTTGATTTTGTATCACTAGGATGCCTTAGTGCTTAGAAAGAATCGGGGGTGGGGTGGGGGGGTGAGGGTGTCATCTTGGGGACAATTTCTGAAATTGCTACTGTATATCTTAATCAAGACAGAAGGCAATTCAAGACAGTAAATAAAACATGTAAGATTGTGAAATCAATCTTCTTTCATCAACCCTAGGCATTTTCAGAAACAGGACTACCTCAAAGTTATAAATGTGATCAGTAATACAGTATTTCAGCTGAAAAGTAGCCTTTTTAATAGCTATATTCAGACATAGATAAGAAAAAAGTAGAAACTAATGTCTCCAGAATTTTGATATGGAGAAACTTTTTGATGATAATGTTCCTAAGTCGTATCAGATACTTCAGATACATGCCCAGTGGCTAACTGCTTTTCTAAGAGATTGTGAAATTGGAGATGATTTCAAATAACCATTAACATACTTTTCAAATGTTTGTGTGAAATGCTAAATTTCAACATTTACAAGAACTCAACATTCATGCCAAGCAATCCCATTGCAAATAGCTTCTAATAAATTCTGTTATCACAAGAGGTGGCAAAATGTACTCAAAAGCAGCTTCTTTATTACAGGGTTCGAAGTATACATACATACCCCTCCTCCAGTGCAAAATAGTCCCACAGCACTATTGACTCTCAATTCCCCACCCTTTCCAAAACAATACCCACTACCTGGGGACAGCTATAATGACAAACAAAATCAAGCAAGCATTAAGAAATATGCACAATGTTTGATATTATCTCTATTCAGGAGCAATTGTACTTTTAACATTAGGAAGCAAGCAAATCAAGAATCACCACCACATAAACACTCCCAGAGTTTTTACTAACACATGCTCTAATTTGAAATTCACTGTTCACGAGCAATTGCATGTAATTGCTGGGCTTATAGTTTTAAGCTTGCAAGTATGAACTTCAAGAGGTTCAAAATATTAATTTCAATTGTAAGAATGATCCTCCCTTCTTAAAATTGGATTTTAGGTCCAATTTTCTCTCTGAACACTTCCTCCATGTTCTTCTAAATATAGGCATATACCCCAGACCACTTTTCTTCAATACTTCTTAGTTGTATACTCAGAGGGAGCAAGCTACACAGAAGAAGCAGGCATGGAAGGTCTCCCTCCCCATCATCTGAGCTAATGTCTAAGAATCTAGCACAAACCTGAATGGGGAAGAAAAGAGATCCATCCATTTATCCATTTCACAGCATACTGTTGCTACCTATCATATCAACAAAACATAGAGGGGTAGAGAAAAAGAAATATTGGCATATGGGAATCATGTAAATTCAAGTGCCTCCAAAATAAACTGAACAATTTCACAAATGCAAATTAGATAGCTAACATATCTAATTGCATATTCCTACATAAGCACTAGCTAGGATAATACGGCACTTTATTTTTTATTGGCAGATTTAAAAACAAATAAGCTTACTGAAAAAAAGGAGGCAGCTGGAGAGTGAGGAACAAAATAAGAATACTGTTAACAAATATAATATTTTGAATGGAAGAAAAACTGCTATTGAAATCATTGCAATACTTTTAGGCTAAACTCTTCAAAGTTTATCCACCACTCCATTTTCAGACATTCTAACTGATTCAAGGTTAAAACTCAAAGGATAATTCATATTAAAATACCCCTGCATATTCTAGCACTACATCCCATACACTTTCTAATCTAAACAGACATCAAAACGGAGAAGAATGTATTAGGTAATTACTAATGTATTTTAGGGCATGGGATATTAGATATGATGACTGCAGAGTCTGAACCTTTGTCTTCCTAATAAAGAAAACCCATACTGGAAATTGTAATAGAAGTTGTGCATTTTCACGCACAATGCTACTGTTTCCAATTAACTATGCTTCCCTAAATATTATGTTCCAATTAACTGTCACAAATTTTAAATCGCACCGTCACCTGATTTAGCAAGTAAGGCTATACAATGCTTTAGATTTGACTCTTTAAAGAATGCTTCAGAGCACATAGGGGCAGGAACAGGCTGCAGCTCTTTAAAGTAGCCCCATCTTTCCCCAGGATCCTAGTAGCTGTGGAGGGCAGCCATGTGATCCCACGAGAAAATGCAACTGCTTTTAAAAGTTGCAGATAGATGCTACATTTATGCTCCAGAGTTCCTTTTCCAAATGATGTCTACACTAGTGCACCACCTTATTAAGTGATATTTAGGACACAACGCAAAAGCCCATCTAGTATTCATCTAATGAGAGTATTGGTATCTCATTTAAACTTATAGCTAACTATTGGTCAGTATATAATTACAAATCCAGAATACTGCTTGCACTGTTATAGCAAATGTCTAAATCAAAAAGTGTGCAAGTTCAAGAAATTCTTGCAAATGTTGAACCTCTTCTGAAACTGTGAAGGACCAGAAATGTACATATAAAAATAAAACTCATGGCTAAGTAATAGATTTTTTGGGGAGACAATACCTAATCTCCTGAATATCTGATGGCCAAACATAATTACTAAACCATTTTATAGGGAAAGAATGACTGTTCACATGATTTTATTGTCACTGCCAGCAAGTCCAGTATGGTGACCAACCTGCCTACTTAGAATGAACTGTATTTGAAAATTCACTTTCTTGAAGTATGTTCTGGCAGTTTGGGAACTTCCAGTGTAATTAGAAATGTGAAAAAGTGAGTTGATATAATGCATTTTCATTGTATTACTACAGTTTCTTGGCTTGTTTACTACAGAGTACCCTGAGATGCTGGGAAAGCTATGTATATAGTGCA